TCAGCAGTAAGGGGGAACTTCGGACATTGATTCTGGTTCATCCATTCATTGTTATTATTATTATAAGATTGGTGAAGAGAAGGAGGAAGGAGGAAGGTGGAGAGAGAAGGTGGAATTGTCATTGGTCTTGCTGGTGTACTTYTTCTTCTTCTTCTTCTTCTTCTTCTTCTTTACCTCTCCTCTGGTCTTTATCTATTGCAAGTGCTTTCATTTCTTTCGCAATTGGGTGGCATTGTCTTTCATTGTGAATTTGCACTTGGGAAATGACCAGGATCGTAACATATGCATGTATGGGCATGTGTGAGATCGCATGTGTGTCAGTGTTGATTTGAAATCAACAAATGACCAACTTCATAACACTTTTATTTTTTCTAGATTTTTCTGAGATTTAAAAACAAAAATTATAGTATATTTTTATGTTCGCGTTCGGAGGGTTTCTGCGCTCGTTCGCGTTCGGTCGCGAACGTTCGGGTTCGGTCACCGAACCCGAACATGATGCTACACAGCTAGAAAGGATACTAAAAAAGGTGATATCGGTCTCAGGGGATACTCACACTGGGACTGTTTTACTTACTTTCTGGATGGAATTCCGGCCAGATGCATACAGGTGTGACCGAAATACTTCGAAGGCCCGTAGGAGTGAGGGCGTAGGCACACGAGGACCTTTTTACTTATTTCTGGACGAAATTGCGGCCAGATGCATACAGGTGTGACCAAAATTGAGGTGTGATGCATTTTGGAAAGCGCCAGTGTGAGTATATGCCCTCAAAACTGGAACGATACAGAGAAGATAAATTAGCATGTGCCGCGAGCAAAGATGCCACAAAAAAAGAAAGAAAAAGAGAAAGGTTGAGCCCATCGATCATAGGAGTCTGATAAGACTTGCCACCCTCTCTCTTCGCCATGATACCACCAACAGGAGAAGCAGTCCCCTGTCGACAGCGAAGAATGTGCAAGCCAAGGATGCAGAGAGCAAATTAATGCGGCAAGCAATTTCTTTTCCCCACTGCTCCAAAACCTTTATTTTTTTTTTCCTGCTCAAATCAAATTCATATTAAGCAGGGCAAATCGAAGTTGGGGACCTCACAATTCAACCCGGAGTTCTTCTGGCAGCATTAACACATTCACCGCTTATGAGCCAGTAGCTCGCCCAACCAACCTCCTTTATAAGTGTATACCAAAAACAATGCAAGAGCCGTACGAACTTCAACAACGCGCAAGTTTTGAAAAAGACAGAAAAGGAAGGCGGGAACCAAATGATCCCACAGATGCTATTCACTTGCCGTACCATTCCCGCTTCCACTCTAGGGCCATTATCTCTCTCTCTCTCTCTCTCTCTCTCTCTCTCTCTCTCTCTCTCTCTCTCTCTCTCTCTCTCTCTCTCTCTCTCTCTTGCACACACACACGCACACTCTTCGCGTGGCTGTGTGAACTCCACAAAAAAAGCATGACTATGCCAGACTGTTTCGTTGGACTTTCACCAACTCATCAGGAAGTTGAACCCCGACAGTCTGCCCACGATACATTGGCCTGCGTGCGTGAGTGCATTTGCGTTTGTGTTTGTATGTGTGCTTGCGCGGGCTGGCGTCCATGTGAGTGTGTTTTGCCTTGCCCGCTATTCAAAAGAAAACTATGCCCCTCATAAGACCCGTTTTTTTCTGCAGGCAGGCCTACAATGGGCCCTCTTTTCAACAGCTGCAACTATCCACGCCGTCCGTGTGAGTGTGTTTTGCCTTGCCCGCTATTCAAAAAAGAAAACTATGCCCCTCATAAGACCGTTTTTTCTGCAGGCAAGCCTACAATGGGCCCTCTTTTCAACAGCTGTGACTATCCACACCGCCCGTGGTCCTACCAGGCCGATGGCTCAGATCGTCCCGCGATCTTAAGACTTTAAGATCGTGCGGCGATCCAGGCCGTTCGGCACGGCGGACAGCCTGGATCGTCGCGCGGTCTTAAAGTCTTAGAGTCTTAAGATCGCGCGGAAATCTGGACCGTCAGGCCGGTAGGACCGTGGGCAGCCCGGATCACCCAATTCTCACGTTAGCGATTTCTAAAAGTGTAGGGATTGTTTACGGAAATCATTCCTTGCCAGACAAGTATGCAACGATCCAAGGGGGTCTCAGGGCTATGGAACGTAGAAGTTGACAGACGTACCTCGTCCCCTTCTGGCAGAATGGCCTAGAGTCAGGTCCTGGATGCGCCGAACTTGATACGTACACCAGGAAGTCGCCTCTGGGGTCTGTTGGGTCATTCTTTGCACAGGCCCCTTCTTGCAGAAGGGCATCGAAACAGGTTGTGGATGCGCCAAACTTGATGGTGAGTACCTCGTGTCATTCTTCCCTCCAGGCCCATCACTCCAACCTCATAGACGCCGGTCTGCAGCCCTGTCCCCCCAGACCCGTCAAGACCTCCGAAAGGTTTAACAATACTGACCGTCTTCCCCCGAACATAACTCACCCCGATACCCCTGAACATAGAGCACCCTGATAATGAATGTATAAAGGTTATCTTTCCAGCCCGATGCAGTCAAAATCAGGCTGCGTTGTGTTCGAGGGAAGACGGTAGTCTTCATTGAAGATATGTGCCTTTGGGGAATTCCTGGAATGCCCCTTGAACTCAACTCCACCTTGCGATATTGAAGCCAGACACAACTTCGCTTTCCATCCCCACCCTTTCCTCTCCTCCTTATCTTGAACAGTATGGAATTTTGCCATTGCTATCCTCGGTCCCATCCTTGGTCCCATCCTTGGTCCCAGGCTCTCCTCTGATGAATATGCTATTTCACAATCTGCAGAGTCCCAGCATCTGACCAACACGAGTCTATATACAAAGACTCAAACGACTGCCCCAGAACGATGGCCGACATGGTCCCCTGCCGCAACCCCCCGCCCCCACCCCCCACCGTGAAAAAAAAGTACCCTGCGGCAGTGCCAGCAAATACAACCTTTGAGCCCCGCTCTCACGCTGCTAAAGCTGTGATTTCTCCTCAGGGCCCAGGCTCAAAATTCAATCCTCCTGTTTCTATATCTCCGTTTCCAGAAGTACAAAGCCAAGCTAGCTAACCAGTTTCTCTACAACTCTCACACCCAACCGAATGCGTAAAAACTTAAAAAGACCTCTGTCCATCCCCAGAGTGCTGCGAAATCTGGGACATCTGTCCATCCCCAGAGTGCCGCGAAATCTGCGAGATCCTTGGCAGGCTCTTCTTGTCTTGCATCTAAAGATCGTTCTTCAGATAAACCCTTCACTTCTGCCAAAAAGAATCCAGTGGAAGAGTCCAGTAATCTGGGTAAACCCACCCCCATCCTCCAAACCCCTTATTACCTGCCTCCACCTGCTTTCCTCAACTTAAGACGCCAGAAGAGATTTATTTGCATTCTCGCAGGTCCGTCCTCTCTCTCTCTCTCTCTCTCTCTCTCTCTCTCTCTCTCTCTCTCTCTCTCTCTCTCTCTCTCTCTCTGTGACAAAAAAGAAAGCAGTGGAAGAATCCAGTTATCTGGGTAAACCCACCCCCATCCTCCGACCCCCTTATTACCTGCCTCCACCTGCTTTCCTCAACTTAGACCCCAGAAGAGATTTATTTGCATTCTCGTCGGTCCGTCCTCTCTCTCTCTCTCTCTCTCTCTCTCTCTCTCTCTCTCTCTCTCTCTCTCTCTCTCTCTCTCTCTCTCTCTCTCTCTCTCTCTCTCT